AATATTATTCATATTTAATCAATATGTAATTTGTATCTAAATATAATTTCTAAAACACACGATTTACAAAAAAAATACTGAGCAAATACTCGGTCATCCAGGTACTAAATATTATAAAAGCAAATGGCATTTGACTTTTTTTTAACCGTTCTTTAAAAAATAATAAAAAGGATGATGCAGAGTAATTTCTTCGTAGGAACCTCATTTTCAAACTGAAGTCGTAAAAAAATATTAGAAAGTCAAAGATATTTTGAAAAAGATTGGACAGGAATGTGTTATGGCAAACACTGAACTCATATGGGTTGAGCGCTGGTTTGATACAGGCATTAAGGTCTCTTTATAGGGACTCTAGTGCTTGTGTCAGGATCAATGGGGTCTACTCGGACTGGTTTGGCATCCAAAAAGGTGTCAGACAGGGCTGTGTAGCTTCCCCTTGGCTGTTCAACCTATTTATGGACAGGTGTTTGCAAACTTTGAAAGATGAATAATGTGGGTTAAGAATGGGCGAGTTAACCGTCAAATGCCTTTTGTATGCCGATGATCAAGTCATATTTGCGTCATCGGCGGCTGAGTTGCAAATGATGGTTACATTAATGAACTGGGAATTAAAAGAAAGGGGAATGAAAGTGAACGCAAGTAAGACGAAAGTGATGGTTTTTGAAAGAGAAGAAAGCAAAACGGTATGTGAAATAAGAATAGAAGGAGTGTTAATTGAGCAAGTGGATGAGTTTGTGTATTTGGGATGTGTATTTAGCAGGGATGATAGATATGATAGGGATATAGAACGACGAGTAAATGCAGGGAATAGAGTGAATGGGGCACTACACTCTATTATGAAGAACCAGAATGTGTCAAAAAAGGCACGTATGGTAATTCATAACGCTGTGTTAGTCCCTGCGTTAATGTATGGTAGTGAAAACTGGGTGTGGCAGAAGAAGCACGAAAGTAGAATAAATGCTGTTGAAATGCGGTATTTAAGGAGTATGCTAGGGTTGAATCTGAATGACAGGGTGAGAAATTGCATGATAAGAGATAAATGTGGTATGCAAGATGATGTTGTGACCAGTATTAAGAAAGGAATGCTTCGGTGGTATGGTCATGTAGAAAGAATGAATGAGGAAAGAGTGACAAAGCAAATTTATATGGCAGATGTGAACGGCCGAGTCGGGAAGGGACGCCCTAGAAAAAGGTTTATCGACCAAATTGGCGATATTTTGAAAAGGGGCCACGTTAGAAGTACCCTTAACCGACGAGCAGAGCGTAGATATATGGATGTAAAGGAGGCGAAGGAGGTATGTCAGGATCGTGCCAAATGGAAGTCCGTAGTCTCTGCCTACCCCTTTGGGTGACAGGCGTGAGTGTTTATGTATGTATTATGTATGTAGATATTTTCATTTCTCTCTTTTAAAAAACGAGTCTTCATTTATTTCATTTTAAGAATAATCTGTGCTCAGTTTTGGGACGTATTAAGGTCGCAAATATATAAAGTGTGATTGATGATCATGTGGTCGGTTTCGTGTCTCGGGTTGGGCCGAAATGAGTTATTGGGTTTTGCTGTCAAGAAATTTTCAGTATCAGCCTAGAGTCAAAAGCCAAAATCAGATCCCCATTGGGAGTTTAGGCTCGTATCCTACCAGCTACCCTATCTCATGTAAGCGCAGACGTGAATCAAACATATAAGACAGTGTGCTTGGTGTATGAATAGTAATGTATGGATGACTATAACTTCTTGGAATAAGGTGATGTGCTATTTCTTATTTGTTTTGTGCAGGAAATTGTGTCAAATATTAAATGATTGTAAACTCTTCTTTCTCAAAAACTGTGCCTCTGAGTTTCATGATGGTTATTCCCAGAACAGAGATATTTTACGAACCAGTGGTAATTTAAACATAACAGCGAATTTCACAACACTATATATTATAAAAATAAATATTGAATAGAAAAGTTTCGATTTCTGAATATTTTTCTATTTCTATTAACGATGATGATATTGCTAAATGGGTCCTTACATTTTCTCAATCAAATCAAACTAGAAAACTTACATTTAGCGTTTTTTCATTTTTAGCCCTCCGGTTCCATTCCCAAGGTCGCTAAAAAAATAGAAGGGCTGAGCCCACAGTCAACTCAGTCAGCCAGGATGGCTGATTGATTGTTTGCCAAAAATTGAACATAGTTACATAGTTTTGTTGTATTTTTGATATTATCTTTGCCAGAATCGCTGGAGGACCTAAGCACTATGCTCAATGACCTCAATAGTGCCTCCCAACGGATAGGTCTTAAGATGAACATGGACAAAACGAAGATCATGTTTAATGTATATGTCACACCTATGCCGGTAGTTATTGGGAGCACTAAGCTCGAAGTTGTTGACAAGTACGTTTACCTGGGATAAATAGTCCGACTAGGTAAGTCCAACTTCAACCGAGAGGTCAATCGACGTATTCAACTCGGCTGAGTAGCGTTCGGGAAACTACGACGCATCTTCTCGTCAGGTATACCTCAAAACCTGAAAACTAAGTTGTACAACCAATGCGTGTTGCCAGTGATGATCTACGGAACCGAGACGTGGTTCTTCACTGCTGGCCGTATGAGGACGTTCAAAGTCGCTCAGCGAGCTATGGAGAGGGCTATGCTCGGAGTTTCTCCGCATGATATACGTAGAAATGAGGATATTCGCAGTAGAGCCAGAGTGACCGATATAACCCAATGGATTAGTAAGCTGAAGTGGCAATGGACCGGCCATATAGCTCGAAGAACCGACAACCGTTGGTGAAAAAAGGTTCTCGAGTGCCAGCCTCGTACCGGTAGGTGAAGTGTAGGGCGATCCCCCACTAAATGGAGTGACGACCTGGTAAGACATGCAGGAAGTCGATGGATGCAGGTGGCTCAGGACCATGCTTTGAGGCATACCTTGGGGGAGGCCTGTGTTCAGCAGTGGACATGTGAAGGGTTGTAACGATGATGATGATGACTATCTTTGCAGTTGCCATAAGTTGATAATTAGTAAAATAAAATAACAAAATTTAAGAAAGTTAGACCAACTCCAAAAACAAAAGCAATAATAAAATAATTCCCATTTAGGATGGTGTAATAAAGAATTAAAGCCACGATTACAGAAGCCATAATGTAGAAATTATTTATTTTATTTTTGACAGTTTTATTTTATTTTTAGTTTTTTTTTTAAATTTTATTAATCATTTAATTGTTGAATACAAAATTATAAATAAAATACAATCTATAAAACATAAAGGTTTGTAAAGAATGCTGTCTTATATTCCTTAGGTATAATATTAATTATTTTACCCTTACGAGTGGACTACGGGATATTACAGGTTCGTGGAATGTCGCCTAAATAATTACATTACAAGCTTCATCCCCTCTTTTTTCAACCTTAGGATTATCCCTGATAGCTTGAATTTATATGTAGATACACCCCTGAAGTATAACCTATTTAATATAAGAAGAATCATTACATCAATTCAGCCACTTCCGAGAATTCGTCAAACTTACGTACCTATAAAAAAATACGCGTCGAGTATTTTAACCTTTCTTATTTGTAACTCGGTTAATAATAAAAAACCATTATTTTATGCTTTAATTTCTGACAATAATATTACTAAATTTACACCAACCATATTCGAGAAAACTTCACTCCAATAACTGAACTGTAGTAGATATTGTACTTTACTCTTGATGGACATTAAAGTTGAAATTGGGTTATACAAATAGAATTTCTTTTAAATTTGTTTAAGTCTTATGTTAGGTAAAACTGAGTAAGGTACTGAAAGTATTCCTTCAAAGAGTTAGCTTTGAAATTATTTCATACTAAAAGCAACAAATTGAACTTCGCATTTGATACAAAGCTAAATACTTTTAAATAACTGAAATGAAAAACTCTGTCAAGTAATCTTTGAAACTGAGATTAGATTTTTCCGATATGAGAAATTTAAACTCACAGTCGACAAGCAGTACGTGACCACTGTACCATCTATTTTACTGTGATCACCTATTTTATTAAAAGCCGCAAAAGAAAAAAAAAACTATGAAGAAAGCATAACTGAGTTATAAGAACTTTTTCGTAGTTTCTGCGGAAAATCAACTTACTGCTAAAATATAATATGGCGTCATAACTTGTTCTAACAGAGCTGTTCTAAGAAATGGGCAGCGCTCGTGGTACACGCACCTTTTGTAATACAATCAACTTCGTTTCAACTGCTAACAAGATACAAATAAATCAATATCATTCAGAAGCGGACAGCAGACAAATAATGCTCGTTCAAGTTGGGAAAATGAACATAATTGTCATGTGTTGCATGAAGGATCGTAGATTAGAAAAAAATTAATAAACTGATCCTGTATTGCACAGACAAAACCCTCGGTTTCCCCGAAGATATCACCAAAGCGTAGCCAGTGGAAGGAGGCTACTGTGTCTACGAAAGGCTCGTATGGAGCCTTGTAGAACCTCCCGTGGAGAAGGAGCTAGTAATAGTAATAATTAATAGTATCCTAGAGAAGATAATAGTAATAGTAATAATTAATAGTATCCTAGATTAGCCTTAATAACCTTTTTGACGTACTCTTTGATGTAGTAGTTATAAACGCGAATGCTGATTTTTTTTATAATAATAATATTATTAAACGCACGCTCACCATTCATAATCGCGAAGTGTGCAGCCTCCGTGATTACTTCCTGGCGAGATCGGATGATCCATTCTATAAGGACGTCATTTCTTGTGATAAAGGACTTACCTCTCTATTCTAAGCCAACGAGCAATGGCAAGTCCCGGCAGTGTAGAGCATTTCCGACCGGGAGACCGTATGGAAGGAGAAGGAGCTCCACGGGAGGTTCTACAAGGCTCCATATGAGCCTTTCGTAGACACAGTAGCCTCCTTTCACTGGCTACGCTTTGGTGATCTCTTCGGGGAAACCGAGGGTTTTGTCTGTGCAATACAGGATCAGGTGATTAAGACCAACAACTATCGGAGATACATCCTACAGAATGGCACCGTCGACATCTGTCGAGCTTGTCGCCATCCCGGTGTCACTTAGTCATGTCATCTCCGGTTGTTCGGCGCTTTCTAACTCTGATTCTACACCAGGAGCTCGCTCTGAAATAAAGTCTCGTCGACCGGAAGCCGTACTCGAAAATGATTGCGCCAGGCTCTATTGGGACCGGGCCGTAATCACAGACAGGACTATTCTTGCGAATAAGCCTGATATTGTGCTGATGGACCGGGCACAGTCAAGGATATTTTTGGTCGATACTACTATTCCGTATGACGAGAACCTCGTGAAAGCCGAAATAGATAAGCAAACAAAATATCTGGCTCACGAGATGACCGACAAGTGGGGTGGTCTGCCGACCGAAATTATTCCTGTAGTCGTCTCTGCAAACGGGTTAATCCCAGTCAGCCTCTCGGGTCATCTAAGGCGGCTGGGACTACGTGGCGGACCGCTCCAGGTTCAAATGCAGAAGGCGGTGCTCCTCGATACCGCCCGCATCGTCCGCCGGTTTCTTTCCCTTTCCCCCTAACCCTCGGCCGTTTGGTCTCCCCTTCCGAGGGCCTCCATCTGGTTGGGCTTTTATTCATTTATGTATTTTTATATTTATTTTATGTAATTTATATTTATGCATATTTATCTCTTCATTTCAATTTATAATTATATATTTAAAAAACCCAACCAGATGAGAAAACTATGTTGATACCCCCATAATAATAATAGTACGTTTATTTGTTGATCACAAGTTTTCACATACGTTAAAAACATGTTAAAATGGAAACAAAGCACAATTTTGTAAATAAAACACACAAAAAATGTTTTAAAGTTTTTCATGAATAAATTCTTGGATTGAGTAGTGAACATTTTCAACTAATAGAGCTTTAAGTTTTTTTTTGAAGTCTTCTATTTCATTTTCTTTAATATTGCTAGGCAAATGATTGTAAATTATAGGAGCCATCCCTAATATATTTAGTAGTGCTGTTTTACCTGGTATACTAACAATTTTATGTTTTAAACGGTGTGTTTTTCTTTTCTCGCTCGAGGTAAAACTATGACAAGTTTGAATGTACAAATGTTGCTACTTCATTTATTTACAAGCTAGGAAGGGTCACAATTTTATATTCTTCAAAGTACACTATCAGTAGATTTAGCGTTTTAAATATGGTATCTTTATCAGAACAGTTGCCCCAAAATATTATAACATACCTATTGACGCAACATATTCGTTATAAGCTATTAATGCAGTTTTATAATGTGATACCTTTGAGAGTCTTCTCAGAGCTAATATGTGACTATTTAAGCGTTTGTTTAGTGTCTGGACGTGTGCTTTCCATTTTTTTTAATTTATTTTTATGCCTAGGCATTTAATGGAAGTTACTTCTGTAATAAGCGATCCCTTATAGTTAATATTTAGTTCAAGCGGGCTAGTTCTATTTTGGTGGAACTGTATGTAGGTAGTTTTAGGCAGTTTGAATCCATGGTAGATGTGATAAAAATTGGTTCCTGAGTTTTACATTGTCATTTCTTCGATGGAAGTGACGTGGATGTAATATAATCAACTTCGTCTCAACTGCTAACAGGATACACGCAAATCGATATTATTTGTCGGCTGTCCGCTTCTGGATGTAAACTGCTTCAGGTTGAGATATTTAAAATAATTTTCATTTGTATTGGCGATATAACAATATCCACCGCGCTATATCACCTTGTGGATGTTGTAAAAGGCGACAGAGGAAAACAAGTCAGGAGATGAGCAGCAGCGTCTTAGTAGTAACGACAAAAAATAAAAAACTGCAGTTGCCAACCTGCTTGCCAAGCGTGCCAACTGTTGCAAATGTCGTCTCCTATGAGGCAGTCTATACGGTAGGTCTACGTTCGGCAGTGGACTTTAACAGGCTGTAACAGTAACGAAGAAGCATGTATTACTCTAGATTAATGATGCTAATAAAACCTGTCTAGTAGTGTCTATCTGGTCTAGTTGTCATAAAACCGACTTTTGATCATAAGGTTCCAATTCCAGGTCTAACAATTTTTGTGTCTAAGACTTCTCAGTAACAGTGGGGAGTCAGGAAGTTGGTGATGGCTCTCCCCGTACTTCGGAAAGCAAGTAAAGCCGTTGATCTTCCGTCTAATCCCTTTTCGGTGAGTAGGTTTCTACACTCACCATACAAAACACAACATCAGTACGATCCTATTTAACGCTGATATTCTTTGAGAATGTTTTCCTTATCAGTCGAGTCGACCCATTCCTGCTGTAACCATTACATAGCTGCAGCGTGGCTCCATCACATTAAAAAGCTTCACTTAATGCTGGTTATCTGTTCATCCGTAAAAGTTTAATTGATGTGACTGTATATATTATCAAAATAATTTGCTTGCCATAGTACGTGACATGTCTCTTGTGAAGTTTTCGTCCGTCTATCTGTTTATCCGGGCTAATGACTGAACGGATTATGGTGAAAATTCACAAAGCGAGAGCAACACCAGGTGCGAGCTAAGTCTCTTTATCCGAGAAACTAAAAAAAAAATCAAAAGAAGCCACATTAAATCCCACCTAGGCGAAACAAGCGTAGGGCGCTAGTATTATAATAAATATAAATATTTCCGATGTATAAACCGTCAATATTTGTGATGTCGAAGCCCGTACGTGTCAGTTGCTCAGCAAGACGGTAGCGCCGATATAAAGTTTTATCCATCTGCGAGCACACGTTTACTTATAAATCCTTTAAAGAAGAAATTGTATGAATGTCAAATGTTGTTTAGTGCTGTGGGAGAATTCTATTTTTTTATTTTATTTTTGCCATTATCAATCACTAGCATTGATTTGTGTCCATGCTTATGATATATTCAAGTCTTTAATATATAGCCACACTTCTAAGTAATTACGGCTTGGACAGATTAAAAACATATAACAATTTTAATAGTGGATATAAATGTTTTGGTTAATTAAAAAGGAGCATGTAGAATAGTTAAAATTTATTAATATATACTATTATATGTTAAAATTTATACCATTATGTCAGCTCAACCGCGGAAGGCCCACATTCACAAAAAATCGCATAGTAAAAAATATCGTAGAGTTTTTATTGGTGAATGTTAAAAGTCGGTGTCCTTTTTAGTGTGTGCTCGTTTATCAATATTTTCCTTTAAAATATATAATATTAGATACTATTTTTTGTATCAGAAAGTAAAGTATCACAATCTAGGAGTTAGAGATCTGCCCTAGTATCCCGTTCCGGTTCGTTAACCTTACTCCGATGTTATTTAAATAACTGACGAGAGATCTTCGTTTCGTTTGCTTTGTTAGGTTTCCGTTAGCAGCGCTTCCGTTGCAATATTTCTTATTTCACTTTATTTATTTATTTCAAGAAATTTTTTAAAATGGTAAAAGCTAAAACATATCGTTTACTTACACAGGTTGGAAATTATTTAATTATATTTAGTTCTTAGTGCTTGGCTTTTACTTTTTATTCAAATGTATAACGTTTGAGGTTATGTTTTTCTCTTTATTCGGGATAACAAACAACTGTACAATATAATATTATCAATAAACGTGATACTATTTAAAACTTAATAATAAGACAATCAACACCGTTGGCGTTACTTGCGGGCGGCCTGTGTGCAGCTCCTGAACAGTGGACTCGTGAAGGGCTCGTTCTCTCAACCGTCACCCACATTTTACTCTAAGGTCAGTGCTATAATACGGCAGACTGCCAGTGCGGTGCCAAAAAGAATTGAGTCCGTCTCGCAATGGTCCTGGCTGGCTTCCAAATAGGTCACCAGCATTGGGTTCAGAGCCCTCACGACAGCCCGATTCCGCTTGCTTAGGGCTATGCGAGAAAGTCGCGTTCGATTTTCGAGAGGCGTACTGCGTGTTTCCACAATCGCCTCTTCCAATGTACTCATTTGCTCTAGTTCCAGTTCCTGGGCGATACATATTAAAACACAGCAAAGCCTTTTATTGTCAATAAAAGTTAAGTGAAGTAAACTTACAGCTTAAATACGTCTCACTGTTGGGCACAGGCTTTCTCGTATGGAAGAGGTTTTTAGAGCCAGGAAGTGTTGACCGCGCTATCCTAATATGTACTGGCGGACTTCATATGTCATCGAAATGTTTTTTTAATTTCTCTAACATGCACATCATCTCCTCACGATGTTTTCCTTCATCGCCAACCACGTGGTGAATCAGCACTTAAAATCGCAACTAACAATTTAATCTGTGCCGCAGGAGAGGGAATCCGGGTTGTTCGCGTATTGTAAAATTTAGAGCGAGCGCTTATACCCTGAGCTGTTACGTCACATTTCCTATATTCACCACAATTTTACACATAAAATGCATCGTTTGGAGGAACAGTACTTTGAATACACCGGCGGCGGTTGATTTATGCGAACAGTGTGAATAATAAAAATAGCAAATATGGTGGAACTTTTGATTGCACAAAGAGTTCATTGCAGTGGAATATTCGAAATATGGAAGACAAGTAATGAATATATACCTTATTTTTTTATAGAATAAAGGCGACAAACGAGCACGGAGTACACGTGATGGTAGATTTTGTGACCCATAGACATCTAAGGTCTATCCTCAGTTAAGAAACAAATGTTAAGCCTAAGGACTAAGATGCAAAGCCTCGTTTCCCCAAAAAAAAGTCTCCGAGTATTAATGCTGACCATACAAAACGTTGCAGCACTAAGCAACTATTTTACGCTGGCATTGGGAGTCGAGTCGACTCACAGTGCACAGTGCTACAACTATAATATAACTGTAAGATGGCTCTACCACATTATTCATGCCGCATTTTCGACAATGCATTGATGTAGCATGAAGTAGTGATACAAGAATACGAGTATTCACTTCCCCATATCTTCCCGTGGGTGTCGCAAAAGGTGACAGAGAAAAACAAACCAGGCCGTGTGTCGTGCCGTGTAGCAGCGACTTAAACAACAATAACAACTAACAGCGACTTAAAAACGACCTAACAACAATAAATAAATAAAATATTGCGGTTGCAATTCGCTTATCAAGCGCAGAAAATATGGCAAATATACCCCCCCCCATCCCCCTCCACAGCAGGCGACCAATGGCAGACACTTATGTTCAGCAGTGAACTTCTGATTGGCGTTAACGCTAATGATTTGATAAAATAAATGCTTTACGCACACCCAGGTAGTGGATTGTATTGCAAATTTTGTCACAATCTGCAATGGTGCAATTTTGCAACCTTTCAATCAATTATTAAAATGATGGCCAAAATACATAAAAGTTATTTGAATAGAGCTGATGAAACTTAATTACTTTTCAAATTAAAACGACGGTTACTAAATTATGACTAAGTAAATAATGCTATATCTAAGTTTATGTAAGATATTAGTAACTTCGATTGTCAAACATTTAAAATGACATTAGTATGTCATTTTAAATGTTTGACAAAAGTCATTTTAAATGGGGAGGAACTGAGTCTTGTCGATACCACCATTTTTCTTGGAATCACACTAGACGCAAAGCTTTAATGGGGCCCCCATACGAATATC